AGAATCGAAAATGGAATCGTGAAAATCGTATCAATACCCATCCCTACCCTTTCTAATGTGATTCCAGACTTATGAAACAAAGTCTACAATCCTTTCATGTAAAAATGCTTTCCCATCAACTTAAAGTAGCGAGATGAACGGCGTGTACGATGAGATGCAATGGGGGGAGCTGCGTCATAGAATCATAACTGCATTCCCACCAACTAGTGGTCAGAACATGCGGGCATGTTAGAATTATTTTATGAAAAGACTTGTTAGCCTTTTAAACAATGTGGTTCAAATCGTTCACAGAATAATAGCAAACCTTCATTGGTATTACTGCAGTAGCCATCCACAATAACATCAACAACAACAACTGTGTGGCTTTGCTAATTGTTTGTACCGATTAGATCCTTGTTGCGGCGGTCAATGGACAGGTTGCGCAGAGCGATGGCCACAGCTCGGACCACCTTGTCAGAGTCAGAGCGCAGCAGCTCCACCAGAATGGGAAGACCTTTCTCCTTCCGCACTGTGGCTCGGATGTAGCTGGACCACTGAAGGGCAAAAGAAGCTGTGAGTGCTTTTTATATTCTTTAGAATTTTATATAAGTACTTGAATCAGCCCTGATATCAGTGCACATCCTTTCATTTGAGGCCCACTGAGGAGCCTAGTGGATCTCCGTGACAGCAGCAGAGAGGGCGAAGACACTTCTGCAATATTCTCCACCCGTGCATGGCCACGCACACTCAGAAAGTCGTTCTGTAACTACAAGGCAGCTCATCACTGCTCCTTAGGCATAAGTAATTCACAACATCACACAGTGGGGCTCTGAATGGACATGTGATATAATTTGTCTTAATTTAAACATCAGTAGATTTTACTTCTCATTTTTTTGTAACATGAAACATTAAGCTTGACATAAAAGGGTTTCTTCTTCAGAGTGCTGATAACCCAAGAGATGTAATTAAGCGGAGGACAGTCAAAGCTGAGCCACCAGGTGGCAGTAGTAAGCCTTGGAAATCAGGGAAATCTCCCCTGTGGTACTAAGCAGAAGCAAAGAATGAGGAGGATTTCAAGCAGAAGCTCAGATATCCTCAGAGAGCAGGACGCTCTTTGTCCAGCTCCCAGATGTGACAGTCTGGTGTGTTAGCAGCTTCACCGTTAGCCTGCTCAGGCGTTCTGATCATGCTTACCAGGGAAAACATCTAACAGGAAAGAGTTTTTCCACCTCCAAATACTCACCTTAGCTAAAAATCACTACATCTGAATTATTAAAAACATTCAATGAGAAACTCAGAGCTGAATCTGATCTAACGAAACAAGAGGAAAAAAAGGATAAATAGAGATTTCAGGTGATTTTCCTCACATCTCTGAGGGCTTTTTGCTGCTGATGAAACCTGAGGACTGAAAGATGTATTTACAGTCTGACACTTGGGTGTTAAGAGAAGAGCTTTTGCGATAATGCTGCCGTGGGCTGAATACAGCCCATCTCCTGGAAAACATAAGTGACCGCTCTTGCCCGAGGTGCTGCGCGTAAACTGGCAGCTGACTACCAGCCATCCCTGTTGATAATTCACTACAGCCTGCAAGCCAGACAGCAGCTCCACAGATGCTCTAACTGGAAGAAACGTGTAGACCTGACCGCACAGCTTCTCATCTAATCCATCATCAGAAGCAAAAACCTACGAGAGATAACAGATACAACACTTATCTAATATTATTCCACCTTGATGGTTATCATTACCCACCCTGTCTTGTGCTGCTGTCATGTTGATTTAGAGCTACTTAAATTGTTGGATCTCATTCTAAATGCATCTACACTTAATTTAGCTTCAATCTCCATCACAGAAGTGCATGAGCTACCAAGAGCGAGCTTTAGTTTCCACACACATACTTTGGCCCTTAGAAGGCAGTCAACACATTCTCATCCCAGCGTGTCAACTACTTTGCTTGGGTTGTGGTTAGGGTTCAAAGTTGCGCTCTGTTGAAAAATGGCACTCTGTGTATTTAAACGTGACACCAAGGACTTCACAAGAACCCATACACACCATTCAGGCATAACAGTATGACTAATATCCTGTTGGTTCTCCTTTATGCTGCCAAAACAGCCGTGACCCATCGAGATATGGACTCAACTAAACTCTTGGAGAGTGTCCGGCACCAAGATGTTAACAACAGATCATTTAAGTCCTGTAAGCTGTGAGGTGGAGGCTCCCATGGCTGCCCATGACCCCACTGTTCCTTCCTTGAACACCCGACAAGTGCTGCAGTTATGGAGATGCTCCGATCGAGTCGCCTAGCCATCATAATTTAACCCATGTCAAACTTTATAAAATAAAACTCGATAAAATGTTCTCTTTCCCCCTGATATATCCCACCTACTAACAGGTGCCATGATGAAGGGTTAATCAGTGGTCTTCACTTCAACTGTCAGCAGTCATAGCCTGACATTGTGTATGACAAGTGGGGAGTAACAGATCCATCTTATTATTACAAAAGAACCGGCACAGCCGTTATACACCACCAGCATCAACAAAAGAACAGTGTTTGTCTCCCAGGGAGGGAGAGCAGACTTTTTGCTACCATCGCAGGACATGTACAAGGTTAAAGAAGCCAACGGGATACGGTAACACCCCAACCCAGTACTCACAGTCCACTGTCCAGCGCTGAGGTTTTGCAGAGCCCCAGCAGCTGCCTCTAGGGTGTTATAGTTCTGGCTCTCTGTCAGCAGAGAGAGGTAGAGCCTCACCACCTCTGGCTGATACAGCAGCTCAAAGCCTGCAGGGAAATACAGACAAACAAACACACTGGTTAGAATCGGTAGCCAGAAAGATAGGCTAGTTAGGCTGTGTGAAGGTGCTGAGGTCTAACTCTGTCCGTAAGAAATGTACTTTGGCGCAGCAACACAGGAAAAGACGCTCGGGTTTGCCATAATGCACAACACCTCTGGTGATAGCGCACAACCTCGACACAAAATTTGGACCGCAGTTCTCTCTGCAAACTTTCGAAAATGTTCCTGAGGACAAAACTATGCAAAACAGTGTTAGGAGCTGAAAGCCACTGTGTCTATGTGGTTTTAAACAGCCTACAACTCCTTTATGAAGAAAAGCTGGAGCAGCGCCTAGTAAATTTCCACTTAGCAATACTAAAGCATTACCATTGAAAACACTTCAGAATTATAAATGAGGAGAACAGAAGAAGGAGAGGTTATTGATCCGACAGCACTCACCAAACCCGGGGTATTTGAGAGGGAGGTTTATCTCGCTAGCGCATAAGACATTCCAGCACAGTCAATCATTAGGCCTCCCTCTGATGGAAATGTAATTATATTATCAGCTATTAGACAGAGCAGGCACAGGGAGAGGCCGAGGTGTCGGATCGCATCAAATCAAATGTATTCATCCGAGCTTTTTCTTATTTTGCACTAACAAACGACTTACGGGGGACCAAAATGACACTTTTCTGATTTAGCGGTTGAACAGACACACTGATCTGCTCATCTTACTGGAGGGGGCAGGTCACATAGAGAGGGAACACACCCAACAGATTTCGATGACTTGACCGAAACACTTCTTTCCAGTTTCGAAGAACCAGCTATATTCTGCAAAGGAAGCACTCCACCTCATCTAATCTAAACAAAGCTAGAACTAATGCAACAGTGTTTCAATACAGGGGGCGCAAACAGCAGGCTTTAACAGACTTCTGCAGCCCAGATCACAAGCTAACCGAAGCTTTAAAATCAGCTTTTACAGAAACACAGCTTCCTTCCTATCCTCAACAGGAGTGCACATGCAATTTTAAATCCTTCTTCTATCCCTCAGGTCGAAATGAAAGGATATATAACCCGCTGCTTCTTCCCATGTGCTCTGAGGCCAGTAATTCCAAGGTTCGATTTGAAAAGCTACGTATTATAGGAGCTGGGATGCACAGTAACCCCGTTTGATTAATGCGCGCAGGTTCACGAGGATCTTGGTACATTCCTGAAATGTAGAAAAAGATTTCTTTCCTTTTCTAATGTGACTTGGGCCCACATATAAAATCAGCAGTCAAAACCCATAAAAAGGCATCTTACGGTAATGTACCCTCTTTTTATTGACTCACTTTTTTTAGTAGGAGACTAAAAATAGAGGAGAGTATCATGTTTGTGCACAAGAAGTACAAGATAAACACATAAACTGACATTTGTGCTTCTAAATCCACATCTCACACTCATAATTTGCACAGAGCGGAAGCCAGAGTGCTCTGACTGCCAGATTTCAAACACAGCAACATAGTAGTTAACACTCAAAAAGCTGGGTTTTCTTCCCCGAGACGCTTCCCCGCGAGATCGCTCGACCAGAGGGCGTGTGGGAGGAACTGCCAGACTGGGAGATCGCTACTGGAGGTGCTGCTCCAGAAGTTACTTTCAAAACTGAAGCAGAGTGAGGAGCAGACTACCCCCGAGTTGTAATCACGTGCTAAAACATGAATCACTTTTTTTTCTCAGGGGCTACGCAAGAAAGGGGGTGGGTGGGGATTACAAACCAGACACTCAGCAACATTCTTCACGCGCCTCATATTTCTGGGCCTACTGGGTGCACACTCAGCAAACTGGAACCTATGAAGCAGGCAGTGTTGTTGACAGACATTTCATCTCCAAAGCAGATTCTCTTTACACAAAATGTCAGCCACGTTAAACCTTTGGAAGCTTTTTCTGCACTCCAAAACTGTGCATACTATGGCTCTTTCTTTTCCTGTAACATAATCTGCAAATCCACACTCCCCCCATCTTGAAATTCTTGGGGTTTTGGTCTGGCACCCGAGCGAAGAGACTTATGAAATTGGAGTTTTACAAATGAAAGACGTGCACAGTTCAACAAAGGAGATGAAAATGGAGGGAGAAATTCACTAAGCGTTTAAACTAAATCCTTTAGCCTTAGTGGAATTTTCTCACTGTGGAGATGTTAAGTGTCTCTGCCAGACCCTTTCACTCAGCAGTTTTTGGAAAGGGCTTAATGTCAGCACAAAGTCCCCGAGGTCTTTACTAATTAGTGCAAGCCAGGTCAAGTTCTGTTGGCAACTGTACACTGAAGTGTTGTTGTTGTCGTCAGTCATCTCCTGTTTGCCTTTTGGCCCACTGTTGTCAGTTTGTTAGGCAGAATTACAGTTTGGACACGGAGATGAGCTGTCAGTGTGACGTGACCTTGGCTCAGGGCAACCCACAGCCCTATAGTCTGTGACAGACTGCAAACACGGTGAGATTACTTCAATATGATGGATTCAATCCTGAAGTGTAGCATGGAGAGCATGCAAATCGACTTCTGAGTTTCCCCATTTTTCAACTATATAGCTAACTAAAGTTAAGCGCTAGTACTTCATACTTCTCTTGCTAGTACAGAGAAGCATCAAAACCTTTCAGCAAAGCAGATTAAATGCAAGATCATGTAAATACAAGCCAAAGTCCGGTATTTAAATGTTAAACATATGCTAGCACAATGTACTTTAATCTGCGATAATCTCCAAAAATGTGTGTTGATTTTTTTTGGCAAACTGATAATGGAACAAAAAAGTTCCTCTAAGCTGTAATTTTAGTTTTTGCTTCTTTCTGTTTGTTTTTCTTTATTGTTGTTTTTACAGCCTACGATTTTACTGCAATTTCACAACACTCATCGGTGCGGTTTCCAATAGTAGCACACGTCTGTTTGTAGCAGGCTGCAGCGAGTAGAT